ATTAGCTCCTTCTACCTGTGATTTCAGACTTTTGATTTGTTTGACCAGTTCGTCTTCACGATTTCGAAGTGCGACCAATTGTTTGTTTAAGTTTTCCTCACTTTCACTGAGGGTGAACTCCAAAGTATCAATTAGCGACTGATTCTGTATGTTATCTTCCTCGGACTTGGCAAGTTTTCTGCGTAATTCTTCGATGGTCTGTAAAAGTTCGGCATTCGTAGCAACATCACGATCCTTAGATTTCGATTTATCTTCAGAAGTTGATGAAGGTTTTGTTCCTGGTTGGGATTCTTTGGCCAGATTTTCGACCTTATTCTCCAATTCGGAAATGATAGCGTCACGCATCTCGATTTCTTCGACCAGACCCTTCTTTTCTTTTGCGTCGTTATTCCTTTGCACTTCAAATTTCTTTTCCAACTTTCGATACTCGTGATCCTTTTCTTCTAATTGCTTTCGAAGTTCTTTTAGAGATTTACTCATACTCGCAACTTTATTCTCATTCTGTTCCAGTTTTTTATCAATAGAATTGGCTTGACTTATACTATTGGTACTATCACTCGATTTTACTCTTCCCGAAGTATCGTTGGATTTATTGGTTGACTCTTGACCTTTCATCTTGTGTAATTCTCTTTCAGATTCGAGTTTAGTTTCAAGGTCCTTTATGTAACTTTCAGTGGTATCCTCTCGCTCTTTGAGTTTGGAAATCTTGTTTTTGAAATCATCTATAACATGTTTGTTTTGGTTGTTGATCTTTTCTGCTTCCTGTAACTTATCCTCTTGTAAGCGCACGGTATTCTCGGAATGAGCTAGGGCGGCGCGGGTGTGCGAAAGTTGATTCTCAAGGGCCGACAAGGACTTTTCGTACTCTTTGATCACTGGACCAAGCCCTTTTTGCAGATAGGTCGTGAGATCTTCGGGATCTTCGTTGGTAGGTTTAGCATCTTGCAAGATATTCTTCTCGCTGATTGTTATGAGGCCTTTCTCATTTGGCAAAGAAGTCGAATCGTTTGATAAAATGCTGGCCAGTATAGAAGATCGGCGCCTCTGTTTTTCAGTTATAGGCGAACTTGGTTTTACTTCAGCGTCCTTATTTGTATCCTCGTTCTCTTTTAACGTATCTACTTCAGATTTGAGTTTCAACACGAGATCTTGTAAATGTTCTACATTTTGCCAACCAACTTCTTGATGTATCGAAATTAAATACTTGTTATTATACGCTTGTGATGTCAATTCCAAGGTTTCGATGGTCTCATTAACCTGAAAAGCTGCTGGCGAAACACATGAAATTACTAATACACTAGCATTTCCGCCAAGATATTCTTTCAATATTGACGGGAAATTGTGGTCATTATCGGTGAGTTGAAGCGTATCTGCTGCTTTGGGCATACCTAGACCACGGATCATATGATCTATTGGAAGGATCATGGATTTGGGGATGTCTACGTCCTAGAGAAATATAATTCGTATGAACAAAATTTCGACGTGAAAAATTGGATGCAAGGAGATAATGAAAAGATTTCACAAAACAAACCATGTCTCTCCATGACAAATCCACAAAATTTAATTTGCATGTTACAGTAACCCAATTGCCTTCATACATTTTACTTGTCTCCAAGGCACCGGTGGCCTGTCTGTTCGGCGCGCTCAACGTTATATTTGGAGAGAGGTTGCGTAAATTTGAGAGATCTCCGTCTATCGGAATGAATTTCTGCTGAGATAATGTGACTGTAAAGATTGTGTGCCTATGCGGGGAACGTCCGTTCGTCTTTGATAAACTGACTTTACGATTTAACATTCCACGTGATAAAGTTCTGCCACGTGACATTTTATTAATATTGGTAATGCAATCGGTGCTGATAGTAATAGTGTATATCTTACCCAATTGCTTCCTGTAGGCTATTTACTTTAATCTCTTGAAGATCACTCCAAAGTATCTGTCCATTGGAATCATCTCGAATTACGATTTGGGGTTTAACTTTATCATCATCCTCTCCGAGGAGGTCAACGATCTTCTCGCCGTGTATTTCCACGAACGAAACGCGCATCACATATTTTCTTTTTTTATATTGCGCGGAGTTGATATACGAAATCAGAGTGGACATTGCTCGTGGAATTATTCCTTTCGATTCACGCGTATTAGAGAGTCCATTCGAGATCCCTAGAGTATGAGATTTTCCCGAGGATGAATGACCATATGCCACAATTGTCACGTTATACCCTAATTATGATGATGACCGAATTTAGTTATGCGCTGCTTAATTAATGTCATGTGATAAACCAATTTTGTACCTTCAATGAACTTGTTGATTAAATTCATTACAGAACGATCGTACACTTCCTTCTGAGTGACTTCTGGAGGGAACACACTATCAAAGGAAAAAGTTTTCTTCTTATCACCCTGAACGACAACTTGATTTGGAGCGAAGGGGGTAGTAGATAGGATGTTCTTTTGTAATTTTGGGGGCACCGATACCAAATCTTCGGCCGATAACGACCTTATTCGCAGTGCTAGACGATAAATATAGATACTTAGAATTGTAGTATTTTACCGGAGACAAGAACATGATCGTTATCAAAAATCCTTACCAATCTGCACATTTGAATTGTCAGTTTTAAGCATCTTTTTGACAATTAACTTAAAAGGGAAAAGAACGTATAACAAAAGAA